CGGCACGCCGCGCCGCTGAAGGTACCGGCGAGCTGCAGTTAGCCAGGCAGAGTTTCCCCCGCTGCCGAGCGGGCGAATGGCATTAAATCAATTCAGATCCGAGCGGATTCTAGGGAAATCCCTAAAACACACTCAAATAAAAGAAATTCGCAGTCGTACTGTTAGCAAAGTTGAATTCTCACTCTGATCGTTGAGGGTCTTACATCAGATCACTCGTCACGTTCTCAAGAAAAAGCCATGGTGCAGGCTGGAAAGAGAGGGGCAGTTCTAAAAGACCCTCCCCTCCTTCCCGAGACAAACCTGCTCACGGTCTGAAGACCACCTACGCGAAGTTGTTAAAGCTCAGAAATATCTCGTTATCGGATTTAGAGGATTCATCGTCAAGTGGTTCAAACCTAAGTCAGGGCTTCGAGACTGGAAAAGACGCGGGGCTCTGCTTTTCGTGGTTGGAGGTTTCCGAGCATCCTGCTGGAAGAGGAAGCACAGCCTCGGAAACCAGGTATTTCTAGGCAGAGCGATAAACAGGGTCTGAGCAAAAAGCTCCCGGGGAGCGCGGCGTGGGCAGAGTGCCGTATCCCGACCACCCAGCTGAGAGCTCCCATCTTTCTCCAAACATCTAAGCCCTTCGAGGTTCAACCAGCAGCAAGAGCAATAACCAAGGCAAAGCAGAATTAAAGGCGAGATTGCGGAGAATCTCTTGGCAATTCTACCTGGGAATAAACAAAAGTTTCATACGCAAATGGAGAGCCTGGGGCAAAAAACATGCCTAGAGGCTCTTCGCTTCTCCTCACGTTTCTTCTACAGCCTGAATCCACTCAAAGCAAGAATATCCACATGAAACACTCAGTATTTTATTCCCAGGCAGGCTGGAGGATTTAGCACTTTACCGCAGAGGAAGAAGTGTGCAAACCTGGATGCAGAGGTTGATTTTACCACTTCAAAGAAAAACAAAAAATACCTCTAAATATTTTAAAGGTAGGGATCACTTGGTATCAGCACTCAGCATTTACGCAGCACTGGCAGTCTGTAGGCGACCAAGTGCTTGTCCAAAGTGCTCACATATGACTTATCCCCATTTTACAGATGGGAGAACTGAGGCACAGAGAGGTTGAGTGACTTGCCCAAGGCCACGCAGTCAGAGAGTGGAGGCAGAGCAGGAAAGCGAGCCCGGCTGTTCTCAGAGCGGGCTACCCCTTTCCTGCTAAAAAGAAGGCCTATGCAATCCAGAAAACCACCGGCCACCAAACCTACCCTAAGTATTTTGAAGAGGAAATACATTCTGGTGAAGAGTTAGAACAGCGTTACCGAGAGGGGAACAGCGGGACTCCTTGGATGGGGCAAAGGGAGGGACACGACCCCAGCGGGTGTCACAGCCTACACGGCCGGGCTGGAGCGGGAGAAAGAAAGGGGAAAACAGTGAAACCAGCAGCAATGCATTTCAAGCTGACGCGAAACGCCGGGCTTAGCTTTGCACGGTCGCTCCGAGAAGCCATCCATCTCCATCCGCAGAGCTGGGGATTCTCCAGCCGCTCTCGCCTGGGCTCAGCATCTGCCAACGGCGGCTTTTGGGACCACGCAGCCAAACCCCCTTTGCTCACACGCCTGCGGCAGCTTTTCCCCATTTTGCAGTTACGAATAAAGATTACAAGCGTTACTGCAGTAAGAAATCACATTACTACAACAGCACTGAAGAACATTTGCCAGCGATACACGAAGTGTCGGGAAGAATTAATCACAACCACCCTCATCAAAGCTGACACGCACCGTACTTCGGGGGAAGACACCCTTGGATGAAAACAGTCCCATACCTGCGTGCGCACACAGTGTTGAGTACATGTTAACAAGGTTCAAATGCATTTGCACAGACAAATGGTGATTTCTCGTATCTCAGACCGATTGGAAGGCTTGGGGTCTTTCTGGTTTTCCCTTTCAGAGCTAGGTGAGAAAAGATGGCATGGATGGTTTTGTTCCTGTTAGCTTCACATGAAAGGAGGCTGGGAAGGGGGAGGCAGGGAGATTTTCACAATTACAGCTTTCCTGGGATTATTTGGTTGTGTTTTTATCATAATCAGATTCATGGGATTACCAGTTCCCGTCTGGGTTGTTAGTTTCTTGTCAATTAATTACACTCTGTGTCATTTAATTTCTTCTGGCGATTGAGGGCCAGCTGCTCAATTCCACACTTTCTCCCTAAACGCGCGCTGCAGAAGCAGATGTCAAAAGCTCCGTCTATGCCTTTTAAGCCTAGAGATCTTTTCCGAAACCGAGGTGCAACGCCTCCCTTCCCACCCCACCAAAGCCATCTGGGTGGGGGGGG